TCCCGCCATTATTTAAAATGGATTCGTTTATGCGTTTTAATGTCTTGTTTAGCTTATTTCGGGGCCCGATTAATGTCTTCACCCATTGAATTAATGATAATTTCTGATAATCCTATTTGCAGAACCCTGAGGTTTCTTTCTCTACGCTGATTACATGAATTGAGATACTGAAGGATGGAAATTTGTGGATAGCAACAGTAAAATCTTAATTTGGTAATAGAAGTGAAAGTGGTCAATCATGTGATGGTGACAGACGAACAGCTAATAGTAACTTAGAGAATTTATCATTTTTATTGGAATAAAGCAAGTTTCTCACAGATCGCTTGCAGCAACGAAAGACTTCGATGTCTTTGGACCAAATAGAGCAGAAAGAAAGAAATATAATGAAGGCTGTCCTCATCCATACGAGGAAGATATGTAATTAAGGTAGAGGTTAAACATTATTTTCGCCATAATGGTCATACAGCTTAGAATGAAAAATAATATCTTTGGTGGGTGGGTGTGTATACTTGTGCATATCATAAAAGTGGGATCCAACTTCATTTCCTCATAAATAAATCATTAATTTCTGAAGGCTTGACTGATCATATATAATACCTATACACAGGTTTGAACCAACAGCATTTTCAAACTTTAATAGGAGTCAGCTTCCTGGGTGTGTGCTAGTAAGTTATTCCATGGAGGAGACTCAACGGCACAGGAAACTTCCACGTGGCAATTTCTTCTGGAACAACTTTTGAGCCAGAAAAAAACTGTGCCACACTTGTTTTGGTTCTTTGGACAGTTATTATTACTCAATTGGAACAACTTTGGCTCTTACATTGGTACAGCTATATATCCAGAAACACTTTTATATCCACTCATTTTTGAGGGTCTCAAGGCTCATCATCTAAGCATCTTGTCCCATCTAGGAGTTTTGGCTCTTACACTTGTTAATTAAGGAAGAGCTCGATTATAATATGGAAAAAATGAGCCTAAATATTTTAATTATTTGGAACCAATAATAAAGTTTCACACAGTATTAAATACATAGACTCGCATCTTTTATAATGGGTCCCATAAATTTATTACTGTTGTAAAACCTCATTAATAGTTCCACAGCCTGTTGAACAGCTAAAACATTCAATTCAATTAATTCAAATTCAGAAAAGATATGACAACTGTTAGATATTTTTGGCAAATGCTGAAGCATACAAAAATTATGAGTCTAAGAAATGGAGAAATAACAAACAAACAAACAAAACTCCAGGCCCATCAGAGTGGGTACCAATAATAAGATCTGTTATCATCAAACAGTATTCCCCCTTGGATGGGAATTGGGATCTCCTCCTCACACATACTGTGAGTTCTGTGTCACGAGCAGATCTGGATTCCTTCCAGGCACTGTATACACAACCCCGTCAGGATTCACAAAAGAATACTTGATACACCTGCTACTGCCTAACCGCAAAATACCTTTAACAATACCAAAGAAAAAAAACATTAATCAGGCCATTCCTAGCTGTCACAAGGAGTTGACAGTCACTTTCAATGATGCCTTTATTCAGGCTTAAAGCTTTCAAAGAGAAGTATATGTACATTATCTACAGAAAAGGTTTCAGCTTTCATTAATGGAAAAATAAGCCTTCCCTTCTCCCATTTTTTAACCAAAATGTTGCCTCTGCTCGGATTGAGTTCCGCCTTCACCCTGTTGCAGGGGTCTAGAATTCACATCTTTAATTACCCCAAGAGCGCACCCCACATGCACATCTTAACGTGCATTGGGAACATCTCCCGTACTTATCATTAGAAGATGATCTCAATACATGGTTTTGGGATGTGCTGTGGGGTATTAGTGGGAGACACTCTGTGGGGTGCAGATGTGGATTCTACTCCTGCACTGTTGTGTAGTCCAGTAAATGAATTAAAAAGAAAAAAAAAAAGGAAAAAAATTACCTCTTTCATTTCTGAAAACTAACATCGGGAGATGTTTTCAGTACACGGCGGAGATGTGCTGTGGGACGTTATGGGGCGGAGATGTGAACTCCCCATGGAACAGCTTTTCAAACTCTGATTCTAAACCAATCTCCTCTCCATCATCTGCCTATTTACATTCATAACAAGGATATCATTGGACTCCCAAGTTAGAGTAGTAAAAGTCATACAATACTATGGTTATAAATAGACTTGTTCATGGGCCGGGCCGGGCTTTCACTTGTCACTAATGAAAATATACTAGGCCCGAGCCCGAGCCCAGCCCGACCAGCGGGCCTATAACTTGAGCCAAAGCTCGGCCCTGGTAAAAAGCCCGAAGCCCGACCTAATTGAAAAAAAAAAACAATTTTCCCTATTCAAATTAGAATTAAAAATTCAGATAGTATTTTTTTTCTATTTAAATGAACAATGGGCCTACAAGATRGTATTTTTCCCTTTCTTTTATATTTTAAAACACAATTTTACATTCTTAAATMAAAAAATKTATTCAAATGAACATAATCACATAACTAATTTTAAGTTTAATATTAGGCCGGGCTGGGTCAGGCTCGGGCCTGGCTATTTTGACAAAACCCGAGCCCGGCTCAAATTTATTGTGGGCCGGGCTTTTTGGCCCGAATTTAAACCCACGGGCCTATAAGAATGTCCAAGCCCATCTGGGGGCCGAGCCGGCCCGTCGGGGCACCCGGCCCATGAACAGGTCTAGTTATAAATTGCTATTGTCCCAAAAAAATAATGCTTTACGGAGTCTACACACACAATCGTTGAACCTATATATTGCAACAATTATATATCTTAGCTAAGGTCCCTTTCTGGCGGGAATAAGGGTATGGAATTAGAATCTAAATGGTCTGTTCTGATTTCAACCATTTGGTTGGATAGAATTAGAATCTGATTTTCATTTCTGGTGGAATCCATTTGAGGTAATGGACATTCCCTCTTTCTCTATTGGGAATGAAAATCTATTCCAACCAATTCCGGGTTCCCATTCTAATTCCCATCCAAACCAAACAGTCAAGGGGAATAGACCATTCCAGATTTCTACTTCCAAATCTGATTCCTATAGATATATATATCAATTCCAATTCAGACTGTGAACCAAACAGACCTTATTTTTATCTTATATATGCAGTGCACGTATATAAAGCAATTAAGCAAAAGGATTTGGAGACGTGACCCCTCTTTTTTTTTTTTTTTTTTTTACGCCGAGGCCCCTCCTTCATAAAAGATAATTTTGGGTCTTTTTGACTTGTTGTGAGTACTAATTAGCCACTTGCTGGTTGGTTTTTTATTTTTCGACTCTGGCCCTTTTGTGAGTAAGGTAAATGCTCTTTCATCATTTATTTCAAAAACATGGTATCTTCAGTTTGGCATAACAAATGTAATAATATATGTGATTTTTATATTATTTTTCTAATAAAAATGTGTACCTTATGGCCAATCTGTACAACATAAATAAAATGGTGTACAATAATTAAAGTTAGTTTAAAAAAAAAAAAGAAAAAATAAAATTGCTGAAAGCTTCCCTCTACTTTCTAATAGTTGCGGTTCGGTATCCTACTTCAGGCAAAATTGCCAAAATACCCATTTTTGACCATGTGAATGGTTAATTTGCTTGTAAATTCGCCCTTTCTTGTTACACTGACCATAAAATTCAATTCCTGTATAATTTGTTGTAGTATATATATTTTTTAAATTAAATCTTATGTACTTTCTACATTTTCTACTATTTTATTGAATATTTTTTATCATTTTCTTTGTTTTTCTACAATTATTTGTCTTTTCATTTAAGATATATGTTTTTTGAAAATTTTATCATTTTATGAATTCTTTCTTTTTTTTTTTTTTGCAAATTGCAATTCTTATTTTTTGGTTGAGATGTATTTTTGAACAGTATATCATTTTATTTTTTGAAAATTTGGCTTTTTTGTTAGTATAGTTTTTTTGTTCTTTCTATTTTTGTGTCTCCTACTTTTTTTTGTGTATTGAAAACAATCTTTAATATGGTGGATATATGGATCAAAGTGGGTGGGTTGAGATGGGTGAGGATCAGGGTGGGTTCTAACCCACTATTCAAGCAAGATATAGTTTACTCTTTTTCAGGGTATTTTGGTTAGTGTAAAACAGCATGTTTTGATCTAAAGGCAATCTTGACATTTAAAAATGTTTAGATAATGACATCAATGACTTCAATAAACATTCGAACCTAGAGTTCATTGAGGGGGTGTAGATGCAACAATGTCAGAAGTTCATGGGAAAACAGTGCTATTAGCATAAAGTAGGATACTGAACTATTAGCTGTGTGACACATCTCACTTAATGTGCCTTTCATCCAAACATTAAACAGAAATTATCTATTATTTTATTATTTTTGTTAAAATAATTAAAAATAAAAAACAATGAAAAAGAAAAACCTAAACGTGTTGGGAGTTATGAATCATTTACATTTTCTTTTTTCATTATTTTTTATTTTTAATTATTTTGATAAAAATAATAAAAAATGGATAATTTATGTCTAAGGGAATAAAAAAATTGTCACACAGCTATTACATGCTCACTCATTGCTTACCTAACGTGCCTACTACATCAGAACCCTCCTTAAATAGATATTTATTCTCTAACATACTCTCTAACAAGCACAGACCCACCCGTACTTTTTCCTGAAATTTAATTAAAGCTCATCCATCTAACGATTGGCATTCAACTGAATTATAATCACACACCTTTGTGCTAAGTTTAACCACAAATCCAAAGTTGATGAGCCAATACTTCATATGGGTTGTGGCATTTGAAATGTTGGTGTGCAACATTTTCAAGCTCCACGTTTTCTTCCATGTTATTAGTACCACGAAGCATGCGTTTATACCATAGAATTTAGCTTATTTATTACATATTAATTAAAATATTGGACCACTGTATGGTGTCTGTATGCTCTGTATGTAGTAATAAAATAATCCATGACTGCTGGTAGGATGGGTGGTTATTTGGGCACATCGCCTTTCTATTATTCTTTTATTTTGACAAGTTGTGAATAATAAAAAGTGCTTTTTAAGAGCTGAGCATATACATACACACCCCAGCTGACCAAGATCCAAAAGCTATGGGGTTTCATACCACCCTGACCTTCTTCAAATCTGACTTCATCGACGTATGGCTCGAGCTCTGTCTCGCACTCATTTGCCTCCTCTTCGTAACATGGTACCAGAAGAACAAGAACCAGATCTTGATGTATTGGCCCATCCTGGATGTCTACCCTTCTATCCTCGCCAACGTCCACCGTGTTCATCACTGGATCGTCGACATCGCCAACAAGATCAACTGCACAATAGAGGCCAGAGGGCCGGTGTTCGCCCGCATGGATGTCATATTGACGTCCGACCCCCGCAACGTTGAGTACATCCTCAAGTCCAACTTCGCCAACTTCCCCAAAGGCCCCGACTTAAAAGAGGCTCTGGACCTGCTCGGAGATGATATCTTCACTCTGGACGACGACGAGTGGCGAGCTCACAAGAAGATAGCACACATCGTCTTGGCTTCCAAGGAGTTCCGGAGTTTCACGGCCAGCGTGAGCAGGAAGCTGGTGGGTGATGGACTCCTGAGCTTGATGCTTCAGGCTGCTAAACATGGTAACGTCCTGGATTTGGAAGATGTGTTCATGAGATTTGCATTCGACAGTGTCTATACGGCTGTCCTCGGCAGAAACCCGAACTCGCTCTCTTTGAGCTCTGCTGCTAATGAGATTGCTAAAGCCATCGACGATGGGACGGAAGGTGTGTTCCATAGGCACATCATGCCCAGGAAGCTGTGGAAGCTGTTGGGTTGGTTGGGGGTCGGGAGTGAGGGGAGACTGGCCAGAGCTCGGAAGATCATAGATCGTCACTTGTTAGAGCACATTTCGTTGAAAAGAGAAGATCTGCGCAAAGGGGTGCAGGGAAGTGATTTGATAGCTATGTACATGAGTTCTCAAGCTCAGAATGGAGAAAGCAAGGCTTACAGTGATCTGTTCCTCAGAGACACTGCACTGGGCTTCCTGTTTGCTGGGCGGGACTCGACAGGCACGTCTCTCACTTGGTTCCTCTGGTTGGTTTCCACAACCCCTCGCGTGGAGGAAAAGATCCTGGATGAATTGATGCAGTTAAAGAAGAAGAAGGAAGCGGAAGGTGTCGTCAGAGATCAAAAGCAGCCATGGGTGTTTGATTCGGAAGATCTGAAGGATCTGGTGTATTTCCATGCAGCCATGTGTGAATCCTTGAGGCTGAACCCGCCACTTCCGCTCACCAGAAGAGGGGTTATCAAAGAAGATGTGCTTCCTGATGGCACCGCCGTGAAGCCAGGAATGAAGATCATAATCTCAATGTATGCCTTGGGGAGGCTGGAGTGGCTGTGGGGGAAGGACTACCTGGAATTCAAGCCGGAGAGATGGATCGATCAGGATGGGAAGATAAGCCAGGAAGCCATGTCCAAGTTTTTTCCTTTCACCATTGGACCCAGAGCTTGCCCAGGTAGAAACATGGCGTTTACCCAGATGAAGTTAGCTGCTGCAGCTGTTCTCTTCAACTTCCGGATTGAAGTTCTTGAGGGTCAGATTGTGTTCCCAATGTCATCAATAGTTCTGCACATGAAGAATGGTTTGAAGGTGAAGATAAGAGAAAGAGTGTGGTAGCTTGGCAAAGTAAGTTTGCTGTTGTTTCTGTGTAAGAAATTGAAATTATAATTGATCATCATATAGGAAATTGAAAACCCAGAAATATTAGTGGTCAAATGTGAAGAATGGTTGTTTATTGGAAGAATGTTTGTTCTTATTTGATTACATGTCTATTAGGTCTGTGGATACAGGAAGTTTGGATAAATTGGCAGTTGATTAGGCTGGAGATGGAACTCGTCCATGATAATTAAGTTTGTCCAAGACAAATAATAGTGAGAATAAAATTTCCTATTAATTTCCTACAGTATTCAGGTTTTCTATCATCTGATCAAATTTTCAAACTTTTGCACTCTTAAGTTAGGTTTTTTTTTTTTTGTGTGTGTGTGTGTTAATTAAAGGAAGAAAAAAAACAGAGACTAAAATGAATGCACTCGATCAACTTGAGTGGCTTGAAATTTTCAAGATAAAGTGACTATTAACCTATAATTTGTCGATCCTTAGGAAAAAAAAAAAGAAAAGAAAAGAAATTGATAAAATAATATCTATACTATATTCTAAAATGCAGTTATTCATGTCAGACTCCTCATACGTACTGCAGAATTTTGTTTTGTAGGGTTTTTCTTTTTTGAATTCTAAAAATAAAAAATCAAATATGGGGCTATTTAATCCAGCCCACAACCAATTCAGTTAAAAAATTAAATGTAATATGATCATTTTTTTACACCAGCTGATGCATGAATCAGGTCTCTTATTAAAATATAATGATTTTATGGTTTTTATTAATATACTGTACACGTACGGTGTATTTGGCAATAGCCTTGAGAAAAAACTTTAGCTGTTGGGGCCAATGCTGTTGAGAGAATTTTTAAGAATGTCACGCTTATTCTGAGAATGGGTCAATTCATAATTACATATTAATTTATTTTTATTAAATGTCAAAGCATGGGCGTGAACGTGACCAGCCCAAAAACTGTCTCAACAGCCAAAGTAAACCCTAGTCTGCGCTGTCAACAGGGCTCTCACTGCAATAACTGCATGACACGTCAGTACATTACACCCTGCAATATAAGGAATGCATGACACGTTAGACTGCCAAATTTTTAGTTTTACCGAGTGAATTCATTGGCAAGAAAAATATAACTTTGGCTATCCACATTCGACAGCCTGGGCTGTTCATAATACTCCACAGACTTTCCACAAAAGACATGTTAGTTTATACTCCATTCAACCATTCCATCAGCACCAGACTGCTGAGCAGTGAGCACAGGTTAGGTGACTCCCAATCAAATACAAAAATACCAACATTTTAAACAAATGGTGACTGGTGTGTTGTCATCATTTCATTGGAGGTCAACATGCAACCTCGTCGCAACAGTTTCTTTTATTGGAACTGTACTCTCACAGTGTCGATGGGAGTTTTAACTGTTCAACAATCAACAGATTCAACGATATCCGTTAGTTGTACTTAAATATATTTCCGCTATATAAAAATTATATATTGGTAAAGATATTTGAACCAACAGCACAAAGACATTAATTCTTACAAGTACACCACACACCAGCCGTAAAATACATGGGCCGCCCATTTAACTTATCACTGTGGGCGTGTCATCGTATTGATTCAAATTATACCTTGAGGTGTAAATCGGGCCGTATTGCCCGCAGCCCGATTATGTGGGTCGTATTGGGCTGGGGTTTCAGGTTTGTGGGCTGCATGCTCTGCGGCCTGCATGCCGTCCGGTTCAGCAAGCAGCATGGCATGCGGCATAGTACACTTTGCGGGTCTACAACAGGTCAAGTGTAGTCCATTCGAAAAAACTAATCATTGAGGCCTTTGGATGACTTTCAAACAGTTAGTTTCAGCTTTTTTTAGGGGGTTTTTAGATAAATACCCCTTATAAGCTAACAAGCCTATAAATAGCTATATGGGAGTATTTATGTATTTTAGCTTTACAATAATCAAAATACCTTTTCCAACAACTAAAAGACAGTATTTTGGATAATTTTATTTTCAGTTCCACCATTCTCATTACATCAATTCAGCAATTCTCTTTTCAATTCTCATACAGTCTCATAATGTCATATTGTCATTCGGGCATAATGTCATACACTTAGGCAGTTAGGCACTTAGCAATTTAGCCATTTAGGAGGCCTTGAAAAGCTTCAACCATTGAAATCAAGTTGAGATTTTAAATCGGTAATCCGGTCATCCGAGTAAGTGCAACTAAATTAATCATTTTTTTTAGAATTAAAAGAAAATGATCGGCTCCTCCTCCCGAAACCAACTTCCCAACGGTAAATTCACTAGCCCGATTTGGAAAATATTTAAAACAAAGGAGGTTGAGGAAAAGGAAAAAAAAAATTGTTTGCCAAAGAGGTAGGATTGACTTTAGCTTTAGTAGCGAGGGTGGTACTGGCCACTTGGTCAAACATTTACTCTTCCATGAGAAATAAGAAAAAAACATCTACTTTAAAGATTTGCTAGATAGTGAAGATAAATTACAAGACAAAGAAGGACATGACAGTACTACACTTGATGAAGCAAATGATTACCATCAAGGAGATGGATTAATTTTTTCAAGTTTATTTAAATTATTTGTTATCTTTTCAACAATGTAACTTTTTGTTTTCAATTTGTAATTTTTTTATATTTTAAATGAAATAAAATTCCCATTTTTTCTAATTTATTGACCATTTTGTATTTTTTAAGTATTTTTTTCATTTCTTTGTTAGATTTTTTAGTGGACAATTGGGCAAAGCCACAAAGCCCAAAGGAAAGTTAGCAAAAAAAAATCTAGGCCTTTCTAGCCTGGTTTGACCCAGGCCTGCGCCACAGCATGGATCCATGCAGGCTTGGGCCATGGGCCATGTCAGGCCAACCCCCCCCCCCCCCCACCCCAAAAAATAAAAATATCTCAGGGGAGGGAGGTACAGCCCGGGACGGCCAATGGGCCGCACATGAGTCATGTCATACCAGCCCGACGCGACCCATTTTACAGCTCTAATTACACCATATAAATCATAACAAATTGATAAAAATAAAAAATAAGAAGGTTTAACTTTTAAGTTACACTTATAAAAAGTAAATTTGATATTTTCAATAATTAAGCATTCATTAGTATAGTTTATATCAATGTTTTAAAAATCAATCCGGAGATCAAACCGTTTTTATTTATAAAAAATGTTAAAAAATTGCAATTTAAGGACAAAAAATGATTTTTTTTGGCAAAAATAACAAGTGTAAAGTTACAGATTCACGAAGTTTGCACGTACATTAAATTTGCAACCCATGACCTAGTGATTGGGTCAAATGGATCTAACGGTTCAACCACCTACGTTAGACAATTTTTACCAAGTCAACAGTTTTTTACTAAATCCCAAATTTTAACCAAACCAAATTAAAATCTTAATCCGGTGATGTTTGGAAAGATTCAACTTAAGTGGTTTATATTGGTTTCTATAATGTACGTGTATGTTTTGATTCTTCAACTTAAGTGTATCAAAGTAATTCACACTTTACATGAACTGACAAAGCATAATCGATCATTTATGCTGTGTTTGGTTGCAGTGTAAATTTATTTGCATTAATATAAATGCATGAAAGTGCAAATGTAGAAAATGCAAGTTCTTAAAGTTGTATTACTTTGAACGATGATTTCAATTACACTGGGTGTGGGAATGCAGCTCAATCAAGTCAAAGCCCGTTAGCACATCAAGCTGCCATATTGGTTAGCCCAACAAGCCCAATCCTGTCCTTACAGATTTCTTAAGTTTTAACTTGCAAGATCCCTCCCCCCCGTTTGGGTTTTTATTTGTAATTGTGATTCGTGGGGACGTATTACCCCCGGCTTGTAATTGTGATTTGTTTGCTTGAAATGAGTTTTCCAAAGAAAAAATTGTTTCTGTTGATAAATTAAAAACCATGGGACTATTATCAGGCGTCAATTATAATGCCCTGTAGAAGATTTTCAGGTCATTTTAATCACTTATCTCATTGTCGGTAAGCAAAGCTTGCTAGACTGCCTTGCCTCATCTGTTTATGCCAAGTGAAGATTTTTTACCAATCTAAATAATCAATTAAATAGATAGAGTACTACCTTTAGATTGGACGTATATGTTCAATTGCACCTAATATCCAAATTTTTAATATAACTAACATTCTAACTAGCAGTCATTTACAACTCGTAGGGTCTATTTGGTTCACAGTTAGAATTGGAATCGGAATGGTCTATTTTCATAGTCTGTTTGATTCAGATAAGAGAAATTGGAATCAACAGGAATGGAAATCTCAATAAAGAGAAAGGAAATAGCGATTCACCTAAATGAGAGAATGTCATTCCACCAGAAATGAGAATGAGAATGAGATTTCGATTCTGTTCAACCAAACAGTTGAAATCAGAATGAACCATTCCAATTCTGATTCTAAACCCCTATTCCCGCAAACCAGCTCCCTCTATCTCCACCCTTTAATCCCAACGTGAGTCCTTTGTGAACTGAACTATAATGGGTGAGTATCAGATTAGACCAGATTTGGGCCTAAACTTAGCAGAAGGATGTTAAGTCAGTCTATTTAATGAAATTCCCTAAAATGACATAGGCAAAATTAATTCTCCTATGTCTCAGTTTGTCTACAATACAAATTTCATTTGCACTGGTGAGTGGTTTTCTGTTGTTTCATATTTTGATGTTGTCTGATTTGTTTGTGAAAAGTAAAATAGGAAGTAAAATAATGTGGTCTCCACCTTATATGAAATAGAATGGAGGTAGGAAGAAGAACATTTGTTTGAGAGGGTTATATGAGAGAGAATTCGTGGAGTAAGGTGGTGAAAATATTTTCAGTTTTTGGATGCAAAAGTTGCATTGCCAGTAAATACAAATGAGACAAAGGCTTAGCTTGAAAAGAGTACAAATACATAGAAAATAATACAAAATACAAGATTTTGCAGTCTATATATTTGTATTTGTATTCATTTAAACTGAGCAAAAAGTACAAATTTTATATCAGGTAAAAATGCAAATATCATAGTTATAAACAAAAAGATACAAACTAAGATAGCTGAAAAATAAGCATCTGGTTGAGATTTGCTGTGCAACAGAGGAGCCTTAACAACTTGTTGGAATTCCCTTGTTTTCCTTTATGCACTCTCTTGCTATTGCTCCACACTCCAAATATCCTATAAAAGATTAGAGGACTATTATCAAATAAGGAAATTACAAGGTTGGACATAGGTCTTATATGGACTTTGTGGTTGTACATGTGGCCAATCTAGTGACTCACTATTTATCTAAAAGTCT